CTCTTTATTAACGCTGTTGTTGTTATTCCCCTACTATGGCCTAGATTAAAGTACCAACCAGTTCTGTAGCAGTTTAATTGACACTATAGTATTAACATTTACCATGGCTGCCAGCAATGACTATTTAAGACTCGTAGTCCATTCACAATTGTGCCAGAAAATTACGAAAGTTACGAAACATTCCATGTGCCTGTACATGAATATATAATTGTTGCATAAAATAAACTACACTGTATAAGTGATTGGTTTTACCTTTTTACCCCGTGTCACCAGTTTGGAACCACTGTCACTCATCAACATGACAGCAAAACCAATTGTCAATAGACAGAAGAACAACATAATTCAGTGCGTACAGCTGTTATGCTCCCGGAACTGAAAAAAAATATATTGAAGGGGTGGTAATACAATATCAGTGAAGATATGGAAAATAAGCAGAGAGTTTATTAATTTAGTTTACATATCTTGTAAAGAATGGTGAATAATAGATGCATTTGAACCACGTTTCACAACGTTTCATAACTATTATTATTATTATTATAATTGATTATAAGTCTAAAATCCATACATTTCTTTGAAATAGTTTACAGGTAAGAATGTTTCATAGATGTTTTTAAATATATATGGTCACGAATAAAACATCTTATAAATTGTGATTTTAGCTCTTTAAATGATGTCTTTGATTGTAATTCCCTTCTGTCAATAAACAGCTTTTCCATCCCACCTACCATGCAGCTACATGTATACAAAGTACTAAATCCCCATATATTTTAAGCGGAAACAACTTTTTGATTTGGTCAAAAAAAAAAAAAAAAAGATTTTTCGTGGGATAAACTACGATTGCCCATACTTACCAATGGTCAATGGATCAATTTTTTACATTTTTAAATGGTAAGCGTCAGTCTGATTTTTTATAATTTAAATTGTCATATATGGAGGTTCTCATGGTCTGATGACATTCAAAAATTATAATGGCGTTAACCACTGAATCTCATACCAATAGTTGTTATCCCTTCACGTAGCTTTGGGTTTTGATGATTAATCACAAAGTTATATATATATATATATATATATATATATATATATATATATATATATATATATATATATATATAATGGGACTAGCTTGAATGTGGCAGTTTTAAAAATGAAGCATTGTGACAAAATCTAGGCTTTAACATTAAAAGCTTTGCCGATATATTCTGGATGCGTTGTAATCTTTTAGTTTTATCATCTGGACATCCATAAATAGTACAGAGGTGCAGTAATTCAGCATATAGGAGTGACTGCGTGTAGACATTTTTCTTATAATGCCAATATTTCGAACAAGGTGTATGTCAGAAATATACTCCTAATTTTACATGGACATTGGTTTTTCCACACAATAGTAATTTAGAGCTGAAGGTTCTATGTTATAATGTGTGAATGTGTCAACGAATGATGACAGCAAATGCCCCTTCAGAATCGATTTTTGCCCTGTCTAAAATGTTACTGAAGTTTATCTTTGTATTGGGCAAATTTAAACCAGCGGTGATAGAATCAAATAAGATATGGGACAGTTTAAGTTATTGAGATAAATGCGTGTTGTATTTCAGACTCAGTTCTCGTTATATTTAAAGTTTATATATAGACTGTTTTACTATTTGAGAGAGTAAGTTTGGATCAATAGGCCTATTGCGTTTTTTGACATGCATAACCTCGTTAAAAATGAAAGAGATTAAATACAAATTAGTTAAAATGGTATATTGTGGTACTACGAAATATTTTAACTAATCATATAACAGCATACTCAACCATAACGAAATGAAGCTGGAAAATGAACACAATATTAAAAGTATTAAAGTTTTGGTTTACCTTGTTTCAATCCTTCCTGTCCGACGCAGTTGATCAGCAAGTGAAATGTTACATCATTTGTGATGTCTGATAAGCGTTACCACGACATGAGGGTGATTACCATGATAAAGACGACAGGTTAATCACTCTGACCCACCTTTTTTAAAACAAGCCTGCTTTCGCTTTAAAAACGTGCTTGAACATATACTGGTGGTTAGATTTCTATAAGCATACGACAAAAAACTGCAGGTTCTCACAATACACCAGCTCTTTACAAAACAAATGGGTCCATATTTTGGTATTTACAGATAGTAGCATGGGTCACAGGCTTAGTATTTACAAAATGAGCAACTTTACACAAAATGATAACTAAAAATGCATGTCGTGGTGCTGATATTACCCTATGCGTGGTGATATAAGCGCGGTGAAATCAGCTTATTTCATTCAAAATAAAGGGTTTTAGGTGGAAAATGCACTGTTTTCATTTGTACGTATAAAATTATGCACTGCTATCCCGCTTTTCTTACACATTTTAAACCTCTTCGCCATTTCTGCAAAAGCAGCTTTATGTCAATATAGATGAAATATTCAATATAGTTACACATGTTAATAATTTCACATTATTGGCATCTTTCTCTTATTTGACACAAACTTTTTATTACGCTTTTACCTAAAACTTTTATATCACGACGGCATAGGCAAATTCCCTACATGTACGTGACCAGAAAGTCTCCTAGGATAGTAAAACAATTAATGGTGAGCGAGAGAAAAGCAAAGGTGTGCTGAGAAATGAAAAGTGCACGTAACAGAAATGAAATAAAAAAACGCGCCGAACAAACTCGCATTATAAAGCAGATTCGTGGTAGTAACATGCTTTCCCACTAAATGGCAAAGTCCCCTCAGTAGTACTTAAGTAGAAGGAAACTCACTGATCATATTTGCGATGTTTTTGCAGCAGATTTGCTGTAGCAACTTGTTTCCAACATAATGACTTAGTCAATGAAGTAGATATCAAGTAGACGATATAGTCTGGTGGGAAGGAGCGGTTCACGTGCAACCCCGTGAAAAACAGTGGATACCAATATTTTCTTAACCCTTGATGTCTAATTTTTTTTATTTTTAGATTTTCCCAGAGTGAAAAAATGTCCCATGGGATTTAGATTTAATGATATGTAACACCCTGTGGCTCAAATAACCACATTTGAAATAATGCAGGGGGGGGGGTTATCTATAGTTTGCAATTATATCATTATGTAGCTAAAGGGTTGCTCTAAAAATACAAGTATTAAAAGTTATGTAATACTGAACCATGTCTAAGTAAAATGGAGTTGAAGGTCCATTGAGGTCACATTTGAGAAATTTTCAGAAAAATAAAGCAATGAAGTTTATCTATATAGAGAATGTGACCCAACAACATACTTTTAGGGTATATTTGATAAATTCCATCTATATTATAAATGTTTAATGGTCATTTGTGACTTAATTTTACAGTTTGTGAGAATTATGATGGATATGATTAGCGTATGGGAGTATCAGGTAAATTTCAGATCACTGGAGGTAGGGTAAGAAAATCAATCATAAATTCAAGTAAGATATAACAATGATTTACATTTCATTGCATAGCTAAAGGCTCGTTCTAAGTGCATAAGTAATAAAATAATGTAATGCTAAACCATTATGGATTAAATGGGGTCAAAGTTCAAATGAGGTCAATTTGAGAATTTTTCGGAAAAATAAAGCAATAGGCCCTACTTTTATTTATATAGAGAATGTGAACCGACAACATGCTTTGCAGTGTATGTTTGGTAACTCCCAATATACATTGCAAATGTTTAATGGTCATTTGTAACATAATTTTACAGTTTGTGATAATTATGATGGATATGATTAGCGTATTCTCACAAACTGTAATATTAAGTCACAAATGACCATTGAACATTTGTTATATAGATGGGATTTATCAAATAAACCCTGTAGCTCTTTGTTGCCTTCTTTCTTGTTATGAATGGTACTAAGAAATATTGTGGTACACTGGGATGAAGGAGACATAAATACATTTTCCACATACACACACACACACACGCGCGCGTGCGCCTATTAACTCATAAAGTAATCAAATTTGTTAGATAAAATTTAGACTAGTTATAAGGATTGATTGTGGAAATACAGAATAAAGCAACAAATCACATACAAAGACGTACACAATGTCAATGTATTGGTTTACCTTGTTGATGCAGTCACCCCTGTGTATTATTTCGACGCAGTTGATCAGCAAGTGAAATGTTACATTATTTCTGATGTCTGATAAACGTTACTATGGCATGACGGTGATCAGCATGATAAAGGCGTCAGGTTAATCACTCTGACCAGCCTTTTTTGTCCTATTTCAAAACAAGTCTAGATACTCTTTCAAAACATGTTGTAACATATACATTAAATGGGATTTCTATTTCTAAATGTCAAAAGGAATTTGTAGGTACTCATCAGGCAGTGGCTGTACACAAAACAAATGGGCGAATATTATAATATCTACAGATGTTTTTTATGACATTACCATCATCGTCGCTGAAAAACTTGGCAGCAACGAACGATCTGCCCGCCAATCCCTCTGTCTCCGTGTACACACGTATGCCTGCTTAGCATGGTACTCAGGATTAGTATTCACAAAATGAGCAACTTTACATAAATGTTAATTTAACAAACACACGAATGGGCTGATATTACCCTGAGCGAGGCGGTATCAGCACGATGATTTCAGCGTATTTTATTCAAAAATTAGGGGGTATAGGTGGGAAACGTACGATCCCCTTTGTATGTAGGAAAAATAAGGCAATAGTACCCCTCATCCGTTAAAACGTGCTTGAACATGTCTTGATCGTTATCGCTCGCTCGACATGCTCTCGTCTTTATCTGGCTCGCGGGCAGTGCATTCTTTTTTTTTTTTACTTTTAACACTGGAGATGATTACTTGGTATAGTTATTCCAGATAGAAGCCAGACGGACACGACGTGTATCCTCACCTGATTATAATAATATTTGTTCCCGGTGATACGCCCCTTTAGTTGTATCAGATAGAACACGAATGACACACCGTAATGGTGCGTTTATCTTTAGACAGGGTAGTTCGTAATTAACGTCTGATGATACATATCAAAGAAACGGGACAGCACTGTATAGTATACATGCAGTATTGTATGTGCTGCCCCACTGTTACCTACAGTACCCTGCATATGTTACCTGTAGAATTGGCGTTCCCATTGTTGGTACAGGAAACGACTTTGCCTGTGCAAGTAAATTGTACTATTATTTAAAATGGGTAAGTATGATTTTTCTTTGCAATAAATATTCATTAGCTTAGCAGTTGGTTCATAGATGAGAATTTTTTAGTACAGGTTGAAAATGTTCTTCATGCCTTGAACTTACTGCCAACCTGGACGTAAGCCTTCATCAGACCGACGTGAGTAAATGTTAGGTAGATCAACAGAAAATCTGAGTAAAAAAGGACTTTGTCGGTGGAATTAAGTGGCACGCCGTTCACGAAACTGATTATTAATCGCTCGGACCTCACGGTGATCGAGACGTTGACACGTCTGTCAACCAACAGGCAAACTTTCCCGTAGCTCCAACGTGTACATGTTTCCAATCTCTGCAGAATTTCAAGGATAAAATGGTCATCATTATGGGACAATTTGGTGCAAGAATGTTCGAAATATCTTAATTTTATCAAAATTATTTGATATGGAAATTTAAAGAGTTTTTTTTTTTTTTTTTTTTTGGGGGGGGGGCTACACTGTACCTGTCGTTTGTGCTGGGGTCCTGGTCGTTGTTACAGTGTGTTAGATGTATGTAATAGATGGTATAGCCCAATATTGTAACATAATACTAGCAGATCCTGTGGGCAGAGTGTTATGTCAGCCATATTGTTTATGTATTCAGCTTCCTCATCAATATTTGGTGAGTGTGCCTTACCAACCACCGTCCCACCATATGCGCCATTTGATACAAGTCAGACGTGTGCGGCAGGTGCCGGGCTATGTAACTACAACCCATTATTTCTACTCTTTACTGCCTCGGCTTTCCGCTGTCTATGTCCCTCTGGTACTGTACCAGAATATACCACTGCTGATGACGTGGTGTGTAGACCGGGTAAGTGGACCTTCTTGTTTATTTACCATCGATGTTTAGAAATGTTTATTTTGAAAACACATATAGGTTCTGTCAACTGGAAGCAAGAAACCTAAATGCGAACACATATAGAGCTTTGGAAACTTAATTATGATGTGGTCAAAAACTGTGATGTTGACAAACACCCACATTTTCGAGGGTGTAAAATATTATAATGGTATCTCAAAATAATAAAAAACATTTCAATTTATAATTTTTCATCTTTCATCTTCACTGAGACCTGTGGTTGCCGAATGTTTTCTAATTTTCTGTGCAAGTTCATATTTGTATTAGTGTACTTCAGTTATAGGAACCCAGTGTCGATCAGATGGTGACTGCAACTCCAGAGCAACGGATTGCTTGGGCATCAGTACGGGTTTTCCAATATATTTTGAAGGCACCGGTTCCCAATCACCATTCTCTGCGGATTTGGCAACATTCTTGTCTGTAAGTGTTTCCGTATTTAATATAGTGCCATATAGGCGTACATTGTAATGTATTGAGCATAACCATGCAGAATAGACAGGGTATCAACAGAGAATAACAACAATAATGATGGTAATAATATACCACGTACGTCTCGTCAGGAGGAATATTTATTCATATAATTAAATAAACATACAGTCTAACGATTGGACATGCTCTACGGTGCGTGTCCTGAAGCACGAAGTAGGGAATATCATGGTGTATATCTCCATGTTCTCTGTTTTTTTATTTATTTATTAATTTTTTGGTATATTTATTTTATTTTTATTTTTCTGTTATTCTGGTGGCAAATATGAATCAGTGACCACAAATCTCACTGGAGACAAAACACTTCCGGCGAATTTGTGTCCAACGACAAATTTGATCATAAAATCATCCTATTTTGTAGGATTAAGAATAGTATATGTGCCCTATTGGAATAAACCGTAGGGAATAACAAAATGGAAACATAACGGGAAAGATCCCGTAATTGGATTTCAAAGAGAAAGAAAGAAATTAATGAATTAACCAAGGAAATGCGATTCAAGGAATTGAATAAGTGAATGAAACAGCTAGTACATGTATTTAAAGATGCAATTGGAATGCTATAAAATGGATCAATGAGATAATATACCTCCTTTAATCCTACAACTTTTGCAGTTCATTATTTTGAAAGTTATGGTTACCTTTTTTTTTCTTTCCAGCCGATTGTCTCATTTTTCTGTAGCTTCAGCGACAGGCTGGCAGTGGACACATCCAGGGGGTACACATGTGAGGGTGGGAGTGCTACCAGCGTAGGCGTGTGCAATCAAACTAGCGAGCGTAAGTGCCTTTACTTGGCAATATATTATATGGCAGTATGAGCTTGAGAAAAATTCCATTTTCTGTAATTGAGGAAACACTTCAAATTTGTCAAATGTATATGTACATGTCCCTGTGAGAGAAATGTGTTGTTCTCCAATTGTAAAAAAAAAGGCAAGCGGAAGTGCATTTACAAAAAAATAATAAATATACATTTTACAAAATAATTACCCGTGTGATATGAAAACTACCTGTTATTAAAATCGCTAACACTATTTAGTTAGCCGGTACGGTGTTAAATGTTTTTATTTACTGGTGAGGCTTGAAAACTGGTGCTAAACGCCGTTAAATTAAATGAGCCTTATAAAATTAATTCATTAAGTATTTATTCGTCTTAGTTTAGTGTAATCTAGTGATTGTTATTAATTGGTGGCGTTTGAACATGAAACTATACGTTTCGTTTAAGTTTAAGTTTATTGATTCTTAATTCTGTTTATTCAGTTCATTCATTATCTAAATATATATTCCAGTTCCCGGGCAGGCAAGTATCAATTTCGCAGGTGCAGTCCTACCCCAGCTACTTCAGCGAGACCTGTGGAGGAGTCTCTTATTTTTAACAGTCTCGTTCAATTTCGGTAAGCCAGTAATTTAATATTAATGAAGGGAAGAGAAGGATGTTAACTCTAGAACAGTTTAGAATGAACCTGAAAAAGTTGTTGGGAAAAAAGAAAGAAAGATCCACCATAACGCTAACTGACTTAAGCTTCCAAACAGCATTGAATTCTTTGTGAATTGAATTCTTATTGAATTCCTGTCTTTTTTAACTTATTATGAATCATTATCTAGGTGTTAGAACATTCAGTTTAGTTTTCATATGCANGCATTTACAAAAAAATAATAAATATACATTTTACAAAATAATTACCCGTGTGATATGAAAACTACCTGTTATTAAAATCGCTAACACTATTTAGTTAGCCGGTACGGTGTTAAATGTTTTTATTTACTGGTGAGGCTTGAAAACTGGTGCTAAACGCCGTTAAATTAAATGAGCCTTATAAAATTAATTCATTAAGTATTTATTCGTCTTAGTTTAGTGTAATCTAGTGATTGTTATTAATTGGTGGCGTTTGAACATGAAACTATACGTTTCGTTTAAGTTTAAGTTTATTGATTCTTAATTCTGTTTATTCAGTTCATTCATTATCTAAATATATATTCCAGTTCCCGGGCAGGCAAGTATCAATTTCGCAGGTGCAGTCCTACCCCAGCTACTTCAGCGAGACCTGTGGAGGAGTCTCTTATTTTTAACAGTCTCGTTCAATTTCGGTAAGCCAGTAATTTAATATTAATGAAGGGAAGAGAAGGATGTTAACTCTAGAACAGTTTAGAATGAACCTGAAAAAGTTGTTGGGAAAAAAGAAAGAAAGATCCACCATAACGCTAACTGACTTAAGCTTCCAAACAGCATTGAATTCTTTGTGAATTGAATTCTTATTGAATTCCTGTCTTTTTTAACTTATTATGAATCATTATCTAGGTGTTAGAACATTCAGTTTAGTTTTCATATGCATTTAGTCTGTCAGAATTATTAGTCACAATGAAATTTGTGTTAAAATGTAAGCATAATCATTGATATGAAAAGCCATCATATCTTACAAAATACAGAGTTTAAGTATTTTTGGCGATTTTTCTCCAAAATACTAAAACCCAAGTAGCAGCTCTGATAATAGAGATAGACTAATTTGGTTTTTTGCAGTTTAAGATGTATAAGCATCTTTTTAGGTGGTTTTGGCACTGTTTTGGGGAAAAAGGTTATCTAAGGACCCCCCCCCCCCCCTACAGTAAATTTTCTGTCCTCTCAACCTCGAGTTTTCCATCCCCATGTAGAGACTTTGATTAATAAGGTTCTTCTTTGTCGATTTTCAGCAGTAAGGTATCTGAGACAGGCATTTATAGATGGTTTATTACTGCAAAAAATTATTTAAATTTAAAGCTCTCTCTGTGGATATGTTCATCTGACGTGTGCATCAAAACTATCAAGAATAAAACTGAATTAGACCATCAGACCATTAACATTACACCAGTACCAAAATCCAAATATGACACACCGACAATAGACAATACGACAGATGAATCAATGAATATTACACCTTGTGAACTAACATCCCTGGTTGGATTCATGATAACCCGTAAGTTTTTTCACGCAGACACAGATATCGCGTGCACTAGTAGCCAAGCTGGCGCCACCTGTCAACTGGACAATCTATTCTGTAGCGGAAGTTACGTCAGTGGTTTGTGTTTTGGGGCTGCCAACAGGAAGTGTTGTGTTCCAGGGGCTGGTATGTTGTACTGAATACACCGAAGGAAATGATTTTAAAACAATTTGAAAATACAGTAAAGTACAATTGGTATTTCCATTAACTCCATCTTTTTGTTTATTCATTCATTCATCCATTATTATTATTATTATTATTATTATTATTATTATTATTATTAATATCGATATTGTACCCAAACCTCCTAGGTGACAATTCCTGCACCAGTGAGGGAGGCACCTGTAAGTACGACACAGAACCTTGCAGTGGTTTTTACACGACTGGACTGTGTGCTGGTCCAACTGCCAGACGCTGTTGCATTCCTTCCCCTTCTCCAGGTAATTTCTTAGCAAATTTTCCATTATTTTGGTTGTTATATGAGCCAGAAACGTCTGTTGGGCCGGAGGCGCTAGGTATTTATAGCATATTACACTTTGATCACTTTCTATA